TACTTGGAACAAACTAAGCTAAGCAAAGCACAGGGACCACGGTTCGATCCCCCAGCACCACATGCCAGCCAGCCACATCCCCTGGTGGGCTGAGCTGGCCACACATACAACACACACACACACACACACACACACAATAAATGTTAAAAAAAAAAGTATAAACCTTTAAACAAATGTTGGAGGTAGCAGTTAATGACATTCATTTCCAGTTTAATTTTGGCAAGAAAGGTGACCAGCTGTGGTCAACTTTGCATTCACTCCTGAAAACATGGGACATGCTAGAGAGATTTTCCTAAATGTTTTAGGCAACCATGGATTTCCCAGTCCATAACAACAAAACACACAAACTTTGAGCTCAGAGGAATGCATCTGGCAACCTTCTGAGCACTCTTTGAAGAATATAAAACCCCTGATAAAAAGCCCCTGACTAGTCACACACTGAGCACAGAGGAGAAAAATGGCTCCAAAGCAATATGTGACCTTCCTCACCTATACTTGTTTACTGATGTTCTGGCAAAATGCTTGGGAGTGAGTTGGGTGGACCAAGGATGCCACAGCTTGTCATCTAAGGAGACTGGGAGAGGCTGGGTGGTGATTCCGGTTAGATGGGTCCCCACCCTACACAAGGCAGGTATGCACACGTGTGAATCACAAGCCCCTCTTGTTCAGAGCTGGTCAGCTAGTTCCTACAGTCCCGCTCTTGGCTTTTACACTGTATGGTCCCAACTTCTTCAAAGAGTACCGCCGTCATCAAGCCACCTGGATAAAATGATTTACTCATCACAGCAAGCTCTCTAAGGCTTGAGACTCATTCTTGACTATGCCACTACAAGTCTTTCAAATGAGACATAAACCTCTCTGTTGTCTTTGCTCCTAGCTAGGATACTGTTTTTCCTGCCTTTTCCTTCTATCTTAGCTCCTTTCTTTTTTCTTTTTTTCCTTTCCTTTTTTTGGGGGGAGATCCTTTCATCACTCTTCCTCCCCTACTTTCCTGATTTCCTTCTTTTTCTCAAGTCCACCTCTGTCTCTGGCTTCAAATCCAGCCATCATCTTCCTCTGTGTTCTTCATGCCATAGGCATCTGCCACCAGGAGCCACACCATGCCAGGTGTCCTGAGCCCAAGCTCAGGGAGGATCATGTGATGAGGGAGCAAGACAACGTGACAGCTGCTGGCCAGCAGAGGAGGGAGCTGCTCCTTTCCACTGGGGTGGCAAAGGCTGTGGGCTTACAGGATCATTCACTTCACCACTATTCCCTCTTTTGCTTCGTCCAACATAATCAAGCTCTCCTCCTACCACTCCTGCCACCACCACTCCTCCCTGTACTGCTCCCTAGCTCTTTCCATCTCTAGATGGTGCCAACGTGCCCTAGATAGTGCCATGGATTGTGTGGTTTCACTGGTGAGTGGATAGGCACAGGGCTCTTTGTCAAAGATGGGGACAGGTGGTCAGGAAAACACTCAGTGTTCCCTGCTGCTGCTCCTGCACTCCAGGCTCTTCTGAGTATCCCCGCTATCCAGCGGAGTGTCAGTGTCGGGAGGGGAGTTTGTCCTATCTCTTTCATTCTTTAGAACCCCACCCACCATTTCTTCTAATCCAAATCTCATTTCGAAATCTTCTGCCCAAGGGGTTTCCCAACCCTTCCCAGCTTTGCATCAACCTGCTGATTACAGCACTCCTGGATGAGGAATAGAGACATTAGGTGGGACCTGGCCTGGCACAAAGCCCTGGAGACACTCCTGTGCCTGCAACAGTCATCTGACTGGTGGCATCTGGACAAACAAACCTATTCCCCGCCTTATCTTCTATGAAGGAAAAAGCCAAGCAGGCTCCAGCTGAGAAGGACCAGCTGAATGGCAGATAATGTGACCATATTCTGCCCCACCTGCATGCGGGATCCTTTCCAGGCAGCCCACAACATCCTCGTCCCACACAGTATCTTCCAGGGAGCCAGGCCAGCCCTTGTCAGGGAGCTATTCCACAGGAATGTCTTTTAGTTCCCTACCTCTGGCTTAATGAGGTAGACTCTGGTGACAGGAACCCTGCCCCAGGAGTAGCCTCCAGAGCAAATATGCCGACCATGGTAAACTAGGTCAGTCTTTCACGTGGTCCACCAAAGCCATGGGGCACAGTTCTGCGAACAACACTGCAGGCAGGTACAGGGCTAGAATGTTGACTGAGGTCCTTGTGTCACGTTCTAGCCAGCAAAACCTTTTGCCTTGATTTTTATTTTAAAACTCCATTCAAAGCCTCAAGTCTGCATCTAATTCCTAGACAGCCAACTGCCTCATGCAAATGATCAGAATACAGATATGAAATCAGAAACTCTAGACCCTTTGCTTCTTCTCATAGAAATAAGGGCTGTGGGGTGGAGCCAAGGCTTTTTCTCTGCCTCCTACACACTGAGGACACAAACACCTAATACCATAGCAAGTTCTTGTTCTTGGCACCTGATGTCACTCTTGCTTCCCTTTGGCTCAGCCCAAAGTCCAACTGACTGGTTGATGGCAATCACCACAGAGGAACAGAGCTCTTTCTTCTCCACCCCCTCGGGCACATGTGTGTATGTGTGTGCGCACACACCTGGGAGCTTGCATGAGTGCATACACACTACCCAGGGCAAGAGCTCAACTTTGCAGGGGTAAGGCAAAAGGCTGATAGGCTGATAGCTGTCTGTGGTCCCAGAGCACCAGATGGGGGGGAGAGCAAGGAGGCAAGACTATAGGAAAGGGGAAGGGAGAGGCAGGTCCTCATCTTTCTGCGCCAGCCCTGGGTGGAACCAAGTCTCCCAGGATTGTTTGTTGGTTGCTGATCCTGCCAACATAGCCTTAAAAACCCAACTGTTCCAGACAATCTTAACAGCACACACACATACAAAAAGTCCTGACATAAAGGGCAAATACTGGTGGCAGAAACACATGATGACTTGTACCCATAGAGCTTGCTGTCCCTTCCCTTCCCTGCCTAGCACACTTTTGTCCCCAGTGCTACAGCTCAGTTTTTTTTTTTTTTTCCTCTAAAAACACCTTTTGGCAACCAAAGATTCTATTCCCTTTCTGTTGGTTTAAATAAGTAGCATAATTTTCTCCTCCCAGGCTTCAACACTGGATCATTTTCACAATCTTTTCCAGCTTTTGCTGCTGCCCAGTCCTTGCTAAAAATAGGTAGGTTCCGGGGCTGGTGAGATGGCTCAGTGGTCTAAAGCACCTACTTGGAACAAGCTTGGCAAAGCACAGGGACCGCGGTTCAATTCCCCAGCACCACATGCCAGCCAGTCCCGCCCCCTGGTGGGCTGAGCTGGCCACACACACACACACACACACACACACACTCACTCAATAAATAAATAAATAAATAAATAAAATAGGTAGGTTCCCCTCAACAGATTTAATGAGGTCTCCCAAGCTGGACATCTGGGCTGGCTCCAGAGTCCCCTTCTGTTTGTCCCTCTGTCCTGACACTATCTCTAAGAAATCATTTTGTCCTTCAGGCTCTGCTGTCCCCTCATGGGGACAGTGTTTCCTCTTTGGGGCACACAGCTAAAATTCTTGTAAGAAATCTAACTCTTTACCACCCACAAGAAACAGGTGTCTCAGGGTAAAGGAGATGTCTGACATCCCTAAACATCTCAGGCTTAGTGAAATGCCATTACCCAAGCAGAGCTGCTATGGAAAGGGCTGCCGGCCCACAGCTGCCCTTTGGTCACACTTCTGCCTGCAGCGGTCAGGTATCATCACCTGAAAAGCACAATGACATCTAGGTTACAAGGTTTGAAGCTGCCTTGATGTTCCCGGATTCCCGGCCCTCTAACAACTGGGCTTTCTTGAGCAAGCGCTCCCTGGGAAGGTGGGGCTTCCCTGCCTGGTCACTCTGACGCCTCACTGTGCTGAGGGAGTACCTTAACCATTTCCCTACCGCCTCCTCTTTGAAAACAGCTCATAAAAATGCATCAGAGGAAACAGTCTTTTCATCCCACCTATTATTAGATCCTGGGGCAGAGAGGCTGGAAATAGGCAGTCGCCCAGGAGATGACGCGGAGGCCCAAGTGGCTGGACTAGCATTCAGCCTGTCCCTGCAGATCAAGATGGTTGATGTCAAGGTCAGGAATGACCAACTCCAACCAACAGGACCATGTGTGACTGTGTCAGGAACATGCCTTCTTTGGTCTCGGGCACCACCCTAAGCCAGCAGACAGGAACTCGAGACAGTGGGGATTTATGAGGTGAAGCGAGTGCAATAATAAACTGGGTACACTCTTCTTAAGGCGGCTCAAAGGACTTTATGATCATTGTCTCATCCATCTTACCAACATCCAAGGAAAGAAGGAAAAGGTGAAGCTTTTTCATTCTGTCAAATCGAAAATGAAAGAGCGTGGTGGTACACACCTGTTATTTCACCTTCTTGGGAGGTAGAGGCAGGAAGATCATAAATTCAAAGCCAGTCTGGCGAATTAATGAGACCATGTCCCAAAACTTAAAAAAAGAAGCTCAGGGTGTGGTAGAATGCCTCTGGGTTCAATCCTCTGTACCACGGGGAAGGGGGGGGCAGTATTAAAATTTGCCATTATTCACCTATAACATCAGTAAAAAAGCACAAATGAACTACCTTTTCCCAGCTCCCAACCAGAGCAAATCAGTGAAATACTTATACAATTCTTTTGTGTGTGTGTGTGTGTGTCTGCGTGCGCATGTGTGTGGTTGTTATTAAGAGGATGGTCCAACACTCTAACGGTCTCTGGTAGCCTGACAGGTAGGACTGATTTCAAAAGATGGGCTGAACTTGACCCTATGGCCAGCCCGGGGTACTGAACCACAAATCCCTTCTGCCCAGCCTTCTACAAACTGTGTAAAATAACAGACGCTCACTTGAGTAATTAGATGAAAAAACTGCCAGCTAAGTGGTTGGAGAACGTCTAGGTGTGGCTGGAAGCAGTCTGTGTAGTTTTTTTTAAAGCCATACATGCAGACAGTCAAAAGTACTTCTTTAATGAGCTTATTAATTTGGAGTGACTCTTCACATCTCACATTAAGGTCTAGGGCTCAGCTGTGGAAATCAAAGAGGCTGCTGTGTGGCATTTACCCCGACTACTTCCTCCAGAGCCACGCGCACGTTTCTTCCTCACGGTTCTTTTCTGCACAGTTAACCAACCCAGACTATTCAAACTTCAGTGTTTTGTGGAGAGGAAATTTACTCTGGGTATTAGAAGACATTCTGGCTCTTTTCTTCCCTTGTAAGTCAGCCCCAAGCTATCCAAAATACCTCTCCTGTGGTGCTGGGATCCTTTACAAATGTACATGCGTCTCCCTAAGAGAGGGGTACTAGTCTTGGCTAATCCTACAAATTCATAAGATTCCCTAATGCTCAAGTTCAAAGCACTCTAATCTCAGTAATCATACTTTGTCACAGGGCTTTACTAGCTTTCCCTATCTGTATTTCTAAGCATTAATTTAATTGAACTTAGATTTGCATAATGTACCACAATTTGGCAAACAAACTCTGTGCAGTGGCTCGCTGACAGGATGACAAGTACAGGAAACACCCTGTCAGCAGCCCTGTCCCGCATGTGACTCGAGTCAGTCGCTCCCTCCAGGGATCCCTGAGAGGCACCTCAGGGTGAGGCAACTCATTCGCGGCCTCCTTAGGCCACAGCTGGATCTCAAGGTGCTCCTTTGTTCTTCTGTATCCATGTTTTTCAGAACTAATATTTGGGATGCTGCTTCAATATTCTCTTCCATTTCTGATCGATGCCATCCTGGAGACTAAAACAAGACTGTAGCTGAAGCTGGGTGTGGTGGCACACACCTGTAATCTCAGCACTTGGGAGGCTGAGGCAGGAGACTCGTTTCAAGTATGAGACCAGCCTGTGCGACAAAGTGAGCTAAAGGCCAGTCTGAGCTGCATAGCAAGACCCTGTCTCAAAAAGACAAAATAAAAAGAAAAAAGACTGTAGCTGATATCTGAACAAGTTTTCCAGTGCTCCAAGACAGCATTGTTACTATACAGGGCTATGTTTTGACCTTGCTGTCCCACACTACAGAACTATCTATTAATTAAACAAATAGAAAGACCACCTTATAATTAGGTCAACTACTTATATTCCAACTTAAAACCTTTGTTCTCTTGGGGATTAGAATATTTAGAGGGAAGGGCTGGGGAGATGGCACAGTAGAATAAGTGCTTCCCTGGCAAGCGTAAGGGCCTGAATTCAATCCCTGGTTCCACAAAAAAAAAAATTAGAGGGAATTTTTCAATGACCAATAAGCAATGCTTTCCTCCTACTGCTAGAGCAACCCCGTAAATAGGACTTCTGACACCTATCCCCAAAACCCAAGTCTCCTATTGAGTTTGTTCTTCTGATTGTTACTCTCACTGATTTTTCCTGTGTTTTCAAGTATAGAACCTGGTTAAAGAGAGGTTCAAGTCCTATGTGTACTAGTTTTGTGGATCTGGGAAAACCTTCATGACATGCTAAGAATTCACAGAGCACTGGGACCGTGGTACACCCTTGTAACCTCAGCATTCTGGGAGGCTGATACAAGAGGATCACAAATTTAGGCCCAGGGGGCCAGGGAGATGACTCAGTGGAATAAGCGCTTCCCTGACAAGTGCAAGGGCCTGAGTTCAATCCCTGGTTCCACCAAAAAAAAAAAAAAAAAAAAAAAAATTTAGGCCCAGCTTGGGCAATTAGTAAGACCTTGTCTCAAAATAAAAAATGTAAACAACAGCAACAAGTCCAAAGGCCCTGAGTTCAACCTCCAGTATTGAGGGGGAAAGGGAATTTGTGGTGTAATAGTTCCCAATGCTGTGGGGTGTACTGGCTCTCTTCTGCAATCCTAGAAGTTGGAAGGCCGAGACAGGAGGACAGCCATAGGTTCCAGGCCAACTGGAGCAATGCAGTGAGCTTATGGCCAGCCTGAATTGCATAGAGAGACCCTGTCTCAAAAAAAGAAGTTTCCAATCTCACTCTTCCACCACCAAACCAGCTGAAATACAGATGAACCCTTCCCCAGGGGAACTTTCATCCACTAGATAGGCATCTAGTCTGTGCTATCTCCCTCCCAGCTGAATGAATGCCCAGCTGTCACCTCCCAGGGTTCCTTACAAGAAGACTAGGGGTGACAGCTTTCTTTGGGGAGCCTAGCATGACCCCGAGGGTGCCATCTGAACCCCTTGCCCTTCCAGGTACATAGGAGGGACTAAGGGGTGTCATGCAATGCAGCAGCAGGGGTCCTAATAGACAGACTGCCTCAGGGTGGGGTCAAGAAGAAAGCCTGAGGAACAAAGGAGCTGCCCAGGTGCTCAGGCACAGGTCTGAGCTGGTAGGTCGAACTAGAAACCAAGTGATGAAACAGAAACACATTCTTAGTAGTGATCCAACTCCATGATTAGCTTCGTATTCTTCTTCTTTTTTTATTCATCTTTTTTTATTCATCACTATAGTGCTTGTTTTCCCTTAGATGTGTGGAACTTTTACTTTCTTCTTCAGACCTTTTCCAGAGGTGAGAGGTGAGGTGCACTAGCTCTGATTCCATGCCTAGGTCACAAGTGAATATATCACTCTCCTTAGACAGACAGACAGACAGACAGACAGACAGACACACACACACACACACACACACACACACACACACACCCTAATGTGGTAATCAGACATGGACAAGGAGCCACAGGAGTTATGAGCTGTGAAAGACATGGGACTCAACTTTCAGAGCTTTGGTGGCACCAACAGGCCCATGTGCATACATACCTGGCTTTTTCTACCTGCCCACTTAAGCATCTACAGATTGTTTTATTTTGTTGTTGTTTATTTGAGACAGGGTGTTGCTATGCAGTCAGGCTGGCCTCAAATTCCCAGCCCTCCTGGCTCAGTCTCCAGAGTGCTGAGATTACAGGTGTGTGCCATGGCACCTAGTAAGTCTGCAGACTGTGCTAGCTGGGAGGCTCATCTCCACCTCCTCATTCTCCCTGGCCCTCTCTCCTTCTCCTTCCTCTTTTTTTTTTTTTTTTTTTCCTCTACTTTTGAACTTATCTATGCTAAGCACATGACCTACCACTGAGCTATACCTCCAGGCCCAAAGGCTGATCTCTGGTAATCAGATACCTGATGTTCATTTAAGACTGATTTTCCACTGGTAACTGATGATTACTCTTTGATTTTTCTACCCTCCCTTCCCCTCAAACACTCCAGAAGAGCATAGATCCTTTACTTAAGTCTAAGCATAAATCTATGGTTAAGACATTTTTTTTTTTTTTCTCTTTCTTTTCTTTTCAGACAGGGTCTTAATAGGTAGTCTGGAATGGCCCTTAACCCACTTTGTAGTACCAGCTGACCTCAGACTCATGGTGATCCTCCTGCCTCAGTCTTCTGGTGCTAAAATTACAGTATGCCTAGCAAGTAAAGACTACTTCTATAAAACGAGTAAATTTTCCCAAACTTGCTTGCTCAGAGAGGACTGGGATTCATATTTTTTCTAGATATGGTCCTCATCACACATCCTATTTTCCTCTCATCTTTAATTTTTTTCATTGTCAAATAAGAAGTTTGTCACCTACACTACAAAAAGAGAGACAACCAATTTCTGCCCTGATACACCAAAACTTATTTAAGGTTTTACAAACACAAGTGTTACCAAAGAACTCGCATTATAAGGGAAGAAGTGGACTCAAAACAACTCTGTCCAGTGCGGGGGTGGGGGTGGGGTGGGGCTCTGAGGCCCCCATCTGCCTGACTGCCTGGATCAGGCCACTCCCAAGGAGACGGATGCTGACAGGCTTCTCAGGTGACCACGTTTTCAAGAACCAAGAACGTGTGGCAGTCAAACATTTGACAAAGGGCCAGCATATTCCAGAAATGCAGATTTTTCCTGGAAGACTGGCCACAGGGTTGTTCACAGCAGCTCTGACAAGAGGCCACGCTCTGCCCAGCAGCTGAGTCACTGGGCAGGGGGCTCCTGCCCCTCTCCCCATGATGCCCACAGGGCTCATTAAATTCATGAAAGCAGTCCTCCAAACAGCCCCTTAAACTGATCTGTTCACAACCTGTCATTGGTCTCCCCTTTAAAAGAGATACTGTTAGCAATAAATGAACATCATCTACTGACTCTGGGCAGGAGCTGTTTATGGCCCTGTATCAAACTGGTCCTTTCCGGATTAAAAAGTAATTATTCCAAAAGAAGGCTTTATGGTTAAAATTAAACCACAGTCAAAAGCTATTAGGACCTGGACTTTGGACAAATGCCAAAGAGGGCATCTTTCTGAGAGAGCAAGAAAGGGAATTTGTTAAAGAAGAAATCTTCGGGGCTGGTGAGATGGCTCAGTGGTCTAAAGCACCTACTTGGAACAAGCCAAGCAAAGCACAGGGACC